CAGTCAAAAAGCCCAACCAAGAAACCAGAAAACAAGAGATAAATTCCTCTAGAATAAACATTACCTAGCAAATAGCAGGAAACTTATAAAATTTGGGCTTTTAATAGAAAATATTTAGTGAGAATGTTGTAATGATTTATCCTGACAGGTAGCAAGCAGAGCTTCTGTCTTTACAAGTGGCATTCACAGAATCCTCAAATGTCAGAGCTAGAAGACGCTTTAGAGATAATCTAGTCCAACCTTGTCACATCTTATAAAGAACATGAACTCAAACTCTGGTCATCTGACTATAAACCCAGGGTGCCTCCTCACTCCTTAGATTGTAAACTCCTTGAGATCTCCTTTCACAAAGCTCAATCCTGGCCAGGGAGCAGGAATTAGGAAGCCCAGGATTCACCGGGGCCTAAGGAAAAGTCCCTTTGCCCACCCAAGATGGTTTTAACTTCATAATACTTTAAAATGTAAATTAAAAAAAATCAACGGCCTGGCCTAAAATGAGACTAAGCTCGATGTGAATCAGTGGGACCATCTGGATCACTCCATCCTACTCAGAGAACAAGGAAAGAAAAAGCTTTTGAAAATAGAATAGTGTGGTAGAAAGAGCTCTAAACAAGAAACCTGGGAGCCCAGGAGCCTTGGAAGCTAATCCTACCTCTGAAGCTAACTTACTGTGTTAGCCCCACCAAGTTCCTTCCCTTCTCTGGGTCTCAGTTAACTGACTGTCACTTAGGAGTCTTAATTTCATGACCACAATACTGTCAAAGAAAATAACAAAGAAAAACTTCAAAACTTCTGATTAAGCAGTGGCCTATCAAGATTTCACAAGAATAATGGTGAAATAGGTGTCCGGCTTCTAAGCAGAGAAGTGGCAGATCATAGAATGAGGCATCCATTTTTAGATGTGGCCAATGTTTTGCTGTGCTTGACTACACCCACTTCTACATAAGGAAGACGTTACTGGCAAGTGACAATAATGTAAAAAAAGAAAAAGAACATCAATACAAGTTTTTAAAGCGACCTCAGAGGTCTCCTAATCTACCTAATCCATACCTTAACAAGAATCTCTTCTAGATTACCGACAAGTGAGAGCTACTGAAGAGCAATCATTCTCATTTTGGACAGCTCTAATTGTTAGCAAGTTTTCCCTTACATCAAGCCTAAATATGCTATTTCTACATATTGCTCTGTCTCCTGGGGCAAAGTAAAACAAGACTATTCCTGCTTTCATGTGACAGCCTCTCAAACACATGAAGACAATGATCACATCCTACCTAAGTCTTGTCTTCTCTAGGCAAAAACACTCCCATTTGCTACATCCTATCATCATATAGCATGGTCCCCAGTCCACTCGTCATCACGGTTGTCTCTAGCTTGTTAAATCCTTCTAAAAATATGGTACCTACAACTGAACACAGTATCACAGATGTGGTCTGACCTGGGCGAAGTGCCAGAGGGCTATCACCATCCTCTTCCAGGACACTATGCTTCTATACGCTCCTATCACACAACTCATTTTGGGCTTTCGGTTCACTGTAAATCCAAGATTTTAGATACGAGCACTTTGGTCCAGCCATGCCTTCAGAAGGCATTGTGGGATACTGGAAAAAACAAAACCAAACTACAATGTGTCTAAAGGCAGATCTCTGGTACTACCTGTAGGACCTTGGATAAGTCACTTAACCTCCCCTGAGCCTCAGTACCCTCATCTGCAAAACAAGAGGGTTGAAGCAGATTGTCCCTTTGAACTCTAGTTCTATGATCCTCATCCTCTAAATTATAGGATTTAGAATGACTCTAGTCCAACCTCTTCATTTTACAGATGAGGAAACTGAAGTCCAGAAAGCAGAAGGGCTTTGCTCAAGATTGCAGCAAGCAGCACAGCCAGAAATTAGGACTACAAATTTATTCTTGACATGACACCATGGATGTCACTTTTTGCCCCCACAAAGGTTGCCTTTAACTCAACTAAACAGAGAGGGGAAAAGCATGGAAATATTCTGGGAAAGGAGGGGATACAGAAAAGACCAAGGAGTTGCTATCAGTGCTGAGATAAAAAGTGATGTGGGAGGAGTCGAACCAATCTTTTCTTTGCTTCCAGTCCCACCCTCATATAATCACAGAATCAAAACTCTGAACAGAAAGGGAAATCAGAGATGTTTTAGTTGAATCCTTTTTATAGATATCAAATCTGAGGCCCATGGAGGGAAAATAACCCTAAATTCTCCTGATCCCTTGGCTGGGACTCCCTCCCCTGTCCTTCTACTACACTATAAAGACCTCTGCCCTATTAAGCCACTTCACACCCAGTTTCCTGTCACTTTCTCCCAGAAATCCAAAGGGCAGCCCCAGAGAATAATAAGTAACAGCCAATGTTTATATAGCACTTAAAGGTTTGCAAAGTTCTTTACATACCTAATCTCCTTTGATTCTCCATTATCCCCATTTTACAGAAGAAGAAACTAAGGCTCAGAGACATTAAGTGACTTGCCAATATTCAGAAAGCTAGAACAATATGAGCTTAAACTTGGAACCAGGTCTTCTTTCACTCCCAGTCCACAGCTCTAGACAATATGCCAGGCTGCTTTTCCATTGCCACAGATCATTATGATAAGACCAGTACTGCTAGGTTCTTTTGGTGATCACACAACATCCTCATTATCTAAATCTTGATCTTGTCCTCCATCCCTGAGCAGTTATTTGGGTCACTGAAGGCCCCAGGAGTTTCTTGTCAGACTAACTCCCTTTGTCCCTGTCTCTTATCTTCAGCCACCCCATAGCAAGGCATCTAATATCAGCTGCCTCTTCTATGAGAAACACTGCCCCCCCCTTATATCCTTTGCCCCAAACCTTGGAAGCCCTGTTTACATCTGATAAGAATGTGAGGAACTCTTCATAAGCCCAGGCTCTCAGCCAAATGCTGCCCCTAAGTGGGTCCCAGCACCCTAGGTCAGGATTCCTGCAGCTGCCAAAAACTAATCCTTCCCCCCGGAACTAATCCCTCCCCAGGGTCAGCAAGGTCAGGGGAACAATCTTTCAGAAAAGTGATCTACCCAAGTAATCCTCTTGATCTATCTACCATAGGGAGTTTTAAATTCAGATTTCACCCCCCTCTAGACAGGGCCCCAAGCAGTCTGGGTAAAAAGATCTGGACTAAGAGAACTGGGTTCCAGTCTCAGCTATTTTACTATGATTTGTCACTTTCTCTCCCAATATGCTCCTTAGGTACAATGAAGTTGAATGGACTAGAAGACCTATACCAGCTGATTTCCCAGGACTGCCTAAGTAGCTTACCTAGAGTTCTTTCCCTGACATACTTAGAGAAGGCAATTTTTAATGCTCTTTGCATCCAGTTCAGGAGAGGCTTTGGGTCAAACTCACTAGTCTGAGACACTAACAGTTTCTGAGAGTTCCAAAGGCAGAGAGAAGTCTGAGCTGAAAGCTCAAACTTGGATACCTTATACTCCCACCAACCCAGTTTTCCTTACCCAGCTCCCTTTAACCAAACAGGTGCCAGATCCTCTCTCCCCAAATCCCCAGTCGATTCCCTGGTCCCAGCTAGATAAGGAAAGGATCTGCCCAGCCCCTTTTCTCTTCCAGCTCTAGGGGATCTCCAGCTGAGACCTCTTAAGGACTGAGAGGCCCTGCTTGTTGCTTAGCCAGTCCCCAAACCGGCTTCAGACAGGATGCTAGAGCTGTAAGGGACCACAGTTTTCATTCAATCCTAACTCCAAACACCTATCAGAAGAGACACCCCGCCAGGAACTTCCCCAGAGAGTTCAAAGAACCAACAGGATGGCAGCAATCCAACAATTCCATTCAACGAGCCTAGCAAGCGCTGGAGACAAAAGGGAAAACAGCCCCAGCCCTCAAGGATCTTACATTCTACAGGAAGGTAAATTCAGAGCTATATTATCTTCCACCTAGGTCCCCAGACGCGACCCCTTGGGCAGAAATCTACCAGAGTTCTCCAGAGTTGGGTGTAGGGATGAATTGCTGTCCTTTCTCTCTCCCCTCAAAAATCCCTCCTTCCCTACTGTTCCCCTCCCCTAGCCCAGAGAAGGAGAGGAAAAGGGGGGAGGGACTGAGAAAGTCTTTAAACAAATTTATTTAATTTTCTTTGCATTTTCGGTGGCCTGGGAGTCAAAATAGGGAAAATAATACCTTGCTCACCTAAAGGCTGGGAGCTTGGACGGGTGACCCCTTCAAGTTCTCCAAACTCACGTTAGATTATAAAAAGTACTTTTTCGGTGCGTGGGGAAAAAGAGTAATGTAAAGAAGAAAACGAAAGACAGGAGAAGCATCCCCCTGGTAGAGGCCCCGAGGCTCTGACGGAGCAAGCCACTTCTCCCACAACAGCAGACCCGGCCTCTTCAGGGCGGAAAGCCACTACCTGCGGCCAGCCCCACCATGCCGGGCCCAGTTCTGCAGCGGCGGCCTCCAAGCCTCAGGCCGGAAGAGCGCGGGATGGCGCGTGTCACTGCGGGGAGCTCGGCTGCTCGGGCCGCGGGGAAGCATCGGGGCCCGGGGGCCGCTCGGTCCCCTCCAGCCTACCGTGGGGTCCGAGGCCACCAGCGGCCCTTCGGAGCGGCCCCGGCGCCATCGCCATCCCCCCCAACCCCCGCTCGTCCCCACACCCCTCCCCCAGCTCACAGGCCCCGCCACGAGAACAGCCCCAGGGGCCACCCTCGTAGCCCGCGGCGGCGGCTCTCGGGACTGAGGCCCGGGAGGGGCGCATCCGAGCCGCGCTCGGCCGAGGGTCTGAAGCACCCGGACCCAGGCCCGCCGAGGCCTCCGGGCCCCTGCCCCGCGAGCGCCTCTACTTATTTGTGTATTTACTCCGTCCCGGGCCAGCACGTGGTTCCCTCCAGGAGCTGAAAGTGTTTCTAAAAATAGGAGGGGGTGGGGGTTGGGGGGGTGGTCGGAGGATCTAAGAAGAAAAACCACCCGGAGAGGAGGAAACAACACCCACCCGCCCCGCTCCACCCCCGAGCCCCACTCACCCAGCGAGGAAAGGTCAGGAGCAAAAAAGGTTCCGAGAAACAACGAGAGGCGGAGGCGGGGAGGAGCGAGGGCCGGGTGGAGGAGGGGACCGAGAGGCGGGAGCGCCCGCGACTCGCGCTCGGGCTGCAGAAAAAGGCCAGGGGCGGGGGCAGTTGGGAGAACTAATGCAGGGGTGGGGGCCAGAGAAGATGTGGCCGCCCCCGTCGTCGTCGTCGCCGCCGCCGCCGCCGCCGCCTCCAGCAGGCCCCCCGCGCACACCGCTGGGGAGCCCGGACGCACTGACAGCGGCGCCAGTCGGGCTGTGGCTAGTCGTTCTCGCGGTCCACACCACTGAGGCGAGAGGAGGAGGGGGAGCTCTGAGGGCAAGGATGAGGACGAATCGGCACCTTCGCTGCTCGACCCGCCCTGCGGTCCTGTCCACCCAGGGCAAACACTTTTCCTCTTGCGTCTGAGCGCACTGCTGAGGGAGATGCTGCCGAGCCAGGAGGCAGCCTGGCCAGGGTAGGCTTCCCGATACCCCTTCACTTAGCTCGACTTTGGAAAGGCCCTAGGTCTCGCGGGGGAAGGCGGGGCCAAGGGCGGGGCGCGAGCAGCCCGGGAGGGCCTTCGGGAGGGGGCATCCCTCCGGTGTAAGCCCCACCCTCTCCGGGGATGGGGATGGGGCTCCCTGGAGCTGAGCCGCCCCTCCCTCATCCATGGGCGGATTGGTGCGGAGCCGAGCAGGCGAGGGGGACCCCATCCCCCAGCATCTCTTGCTCTCTGCCTCCTCCTGGTCTCCGAGAGGCCGGACGCAGCGAGTGGAGGATTCAGCTTGGTCCGGGGCCCTGCCTGCCCTCCTCGCGTTGCACTTGAATGCCCCTAATCGGAAGAGGCCAAGTCCCAGCCAGCCTGGTCCCCCAACCCCGACTTAAACCTCCTTTACGCCGAGGACAGGGACCTTATGAATCTGTGGAAACACCGAGGTGGAAGGATCATATATTGGGCTATCTTTACACTTACCCTCAGTTTTGCAGATGGGGAAACTGAGGGGAAGTAACTTGCCTAAGGTTGAAGAGGAAGACAAAGGCCTGTAACCATAGTAATTCTGTGTGTGTAACTGAGCCAGATGCAGGAGCTTACAAAACGCTTCCTATCCATTATCTCATTTGATCCTCCCAACTACCCTGTAAATGAAGCAAGACCAGGGTTTATTATTATCTTCATTTTGCAGATGAAAAAACTGCAAACCAAAGAGAAGAATGGACTAGCCCAAGGTCACACAGGTACTAAGTAGCCGGGTCAGGACTCAAACTAAGTTCATGGGAGCATAGATTTCTAGCTGGAAGGGACCTTAGAGGGCACAAGTCTGACCCCTTCATTTTACAAATGAAGGGCCGAAGCCCAGGGAGACAGGCGACCTGTCTAAAGGAACACAGGCAGGAAAACATCAGAGCCAAGATGTCAACCTCAGATCCTTCCACTCCAAATCTAGCATACTCTCTTACAGCCAGATGTTAGTAGTCTTTCCATCTCAGGCCTCCCTGCTCTGTTGATTCAGAGCTGTCCCTGGTCCTCCTTCCCTTGGCCCTATCAAGGATCCTCATACTGCTCTCCTGAATTCATCTCAATAAACAACTTGCTGGCTTAGAGAGCACTGGCTAAGAGCAGAGGTCCTTTAACACAAGTCTCTTCTTCTGAGGTTTCATTGGAGGTCCCTAATTAGTTATTATTATTACTATTTCTACTACTACTACTAAACAAAAGATGTGTGGGCATCTTTAAAGTATGATCTTCATTAAAGAGTCAGCAGATTGGCCCAGCCTACTTCGCTGCAGGTCCTCAGAATTCCCACTCTCCAGTGACCCTCCTGCCTATTCATTGGATGGAAGTCCACAATCAGAGGCAAATGCTTTAATTAAAACTGACATTAAGGACTCACTTGCTGAAGCAGAATAACATTAGCAGAAATATAAATGAGGTGACTTGTAGATGTGTGGCATTTATTCTAATGAGGAAACCTTTTCTACTGCAACCTATTCAAATTAATTGAGTCCCAGGCAAATAACAGATGTACCCTTCCTCCACACCCCCTCCCCAACCCTGTAATTAACTTTGTTGAGGCCTGTTCCCTGTCTATAACATTCCTCCCAGATGTTCTCAAGTAACATTACTCCACATGTTCTTGGCCATGTTATGCCCCACTGCCTTCCATGTTTTCCCCAATATGTTCTCAGACATATTCCCTGTACACTCCCCAACACATTCCTTGCCAAGATGTTCTCAGTCTTAGACTTAACACTGGGAGGCAGCTAGGTGGCTCAGTGGATACACCAGGCCTGGAGTCAAGGAAGACTCACCTTCCTGAGTTCAAATCTGTCCTCAAACACTTACTGGCTGTGGGACCCTGGGCAAGTCATTTAACCCTCAGTTTCCTCCTCCGTAAAATGATCTGGAGAAGGAAATGGCAAACCAATCCAGTATGTTTCCAAGAAAACCCCAAATGGTGTCATGAAGAGTTAGAATCAACTGAAAAATGACTGAACAGCAGCTGAGAATGCCTGAATGCCTTGTTGTTTACGGGTGGCCCCATAGAAATCCAGGCCAGGACTTTAGCCTCTCCTGCTTAGCATAAAATCTAGGACTAAACTGGAATTAGAGGAATAAAATGGAGAGACTGATAGGTGGAAAGATCGGAGCATTGACTAGCAGTGGGCCAGGGCTACAGTAGCCCCCAGGACAACACAAGGCTAGCCAAACCTGATAAATCCAGCCCCCAACAGAGCAGAGACTCCTCCATTCTATTGGTGGAAAAAGGTACATGCAACTGTTTGCTTAAAAAGACACATGCAGGGACAGCTAGGTGGTGCAGTGGATAGAGCACCAGCCCTGGAGTCTGGAGGACCTGAGTTCAAATCCCGCCTCATACTAGCTGTGTGACCCTGGGCAAGTCACTTAACCCCAATTGCCTCCAAAAAGAAAAAGGAACATGGAAACTGAGAGAGGGGAAAGGGTAGAGATTCCCAAACACCTTTCTTTGCTGTACTTCTAAAGTGGCCACATAAGATCATAGTTCTATAGCTGGAAAGGACTTCAGAGACCAACCTCCTCATTTTACATATGAAAGAATTAAGGCCCTAGGAAATTAAGTGACTTGTCCAAGGCCATTTGTATCTCTAGATGACCAAAACAGAGAAAATAACAAAGATCTTGGTCATGAAGATTAACCTTTTTTTTTCATGATGCCATCCAAATCACCTTGGGTTTGCTTATGACACAGGGAGATGGGAAACTATCTGTAGTTTTTTTTTTCCTGATATACTTGGAGGATTTCCTGGACCCTGTCCAGGTCAGAGCAAGCCTCTGACTTCCCATCTCTCAAGGCTTACCTCAGTGTTTGAGTTACTAAATTTATAGTTAAAAAAAGTTTCTTTTATTGAGCCTGTGATTTCATCAATGTAGGAAGCTTCAAGTAAAAAACTGCCTTTACAAACAAATGAATGAATATAAATAAAAATACATTAAAAGGGGGTGATATTTATATTCCTTACCTCAAAGGGTTGCTGTAGGAGGAAAAAAGCACTAGAGGAAAATGAATTGTTGTTATCATTATTATTAATTATTATTGTTACTATTGATCATTATCAATCCTTTCTTGTCACCCTCATAGGAGTACTGGGAGGATGAAATTAAATGACCTGTCAAGTTTTTTTGTGATTGTAAAGTGCCATATAAATGTGCTATTATTATCCAGCACTTAACACAGCATATTACAAGCAGTAGGTGCTTAATAAATGTTTGTGACTGAAGGAAATAATGACAGATAACACCAGACCTGAGCACTTTACTCAATCAGTCAATAAGCATTTATTAAGTACTTACTGTGTGCCGGGCACTGTGCTAACTAAGGTCTAGGGATTTGGAGAAAGGCACAAGACAGTCTCTGCCCTTAAGGAGATCACAATCTGTTGGGAGAGACAACATGCAGACCACTAAGTACAAATAAGCTATATACAGAATAAACTGGAAATAATCAACAGAGGGAAGGCACTAGAATTAAGAGAGATTAGAAAAGGTTTTCTACAGAAGGTAGCATAGTATCTGGGACCTGAAGGAATCCAGGGAAGCCAGGAGACAGAGATAAGGAGGGAGAGCATTTTGGACATGGGGGACAGCCAGGGAAAATGCCCAGAGATGCAGTGTTTCATTCAAGAAAAAACAAAGATCTGTTACTGGATCCAAAAATATGTGTTGGGGAGGGTGCACTTATAAATTATAAGAAGACTGGAAGGGAGCACAAGGGCTTTGAATGCCAAACAAAAGATTTTATATTTGATTCTAGATGTGATACGGAGCCACTGGAGTTTATTGAGTTGGGGAGGAGAAATCACATGGTCAAGCCTGAACTTTAGGAAAAATCACTTTGTTAGCTGAATGGAGAGGATAAACTGAAGTGGGGAGAGACTTATTGCAGGCAGCCCAACCAGCAGACTCTTATTACAGTCCAAGCGTGAGGAGATGAGGGCCTGTACCAGGATGGTGGCAGTGTCAAAGGAGAGAAGGAGACATATTTGAGAGATGTTGGTGGCAAAGATGAAATTGACAGGTCTTGACAACAGATTGGATATGGAGCATGAGAGATAGCGAGCAGTCGAGGATGACACCTAGGTTGTGAGCCTAGGGAACTGGGAGGATGGTGCTGCCTCCTCAGTAACAGGGAAGTTTAGGAGTGGTGAGGGCATTGGGGAAAAGATAATGAGTTCAGTTTTGGACAAGTTAAATTTAAGGTGACTATAGGACATCCAGTTCAAGATGTCTTAATAGGCAATTGGAGGTGCAAAACTGGAAGTAAGCTGAGAAGTTATAGTTGGATAAGTAAACTTGAGAATCAGTAGCATGAAGATGATAATTTAATGTATTGGAGCTGATCAGGTCAACAAGTGAAACAGTATATAGGGAAAAGAGAAGAGGGCCAAGGACAGAATTCAGAGCACTCAAAGTTAGTGGGCATGATCTGGATGAAGATCCAAGAAAGGAGACTGAGAAGGAATGGCCCAATAGGTAGGAGAACCAGGTGAGAACAATCTCCCAAAAACCTAGAGAAAAGACAGGTACCAAGGAGAAGAGGGTGATTGACAGTGTCAAAGGCTGCAGAGAAGTCAAGAAGGATGAGGATGGAGAAAAAGCCATCGGCAATTAAGAGATCATTGGTAACTTTTGAGAGAGCAGTTACAGTTGAATGATGAAGTTGGAAGCCAGGTTGTACAGAGTTAAGAGAGAGAG